TTAATGAGTCCTTGATTGATCAATATTGCATGTCTCTCTTTGTTTTCATGAGAAACCACTTTGAAGATATCAATATCAAGCACTATTAATTTCCTACCACTTTCTTTGTAACTCTGTATTGTTTGTACTGTTCTTTTGCTATTTTGTAAAACGTTGTCTGTCTGTTAAGGTTTTTCTCCTTTTATTTTTAAAATAAAAAAAAAAAAAAAAACAGCTTGCTTAGTGATCTCAGGGTACTACTTAGTTACTGTGGCATGGGGCAGCTTTAGTACATGATATGGAGAAAAATGAGTATCTTTAAGGTAAAGGTAATGTGTCGGCTTCCTCTAAGGGGATCATGCACTGGAATATGTGTTTTCTTTTTCAACTGAATTCTCAAAATAAATATACAGTGGAGAAAAGTAAATGCAAATTGAATGTTAATGAAGTGAATTCAAAGCATCTTTAGGGTTCCATGGCACCTAGTTTGAAAATCAGTGATGTAGATCAATCCTTTGATTTCTGGATGGTGGAAGAGGGCTTTGCCCACGGCTACTGAGTTCGCAAGGGGCAGGGGCCACATGAGGCCCCAGTTGCTTGGCTTTCTGCACAGTATATGTCGGTGTTGTGTCTGGAGAAATGCGGAATCCTGAAAACAGCAGATGCACTGCTTGCTCTCGAGTCTATAGAAACCTTACCTCAATCATACCGGGCACTAGGCGGCAGAGGACCTCCACTTGGACAGGGGACAGCCCCACTTCCTCCTGGGCTTCCCGCAGTGCAGTGGCCACATCATCTCTGTCTGTGGATTCCCTCTTTCCCCCAGGGAAGCAAACTTCTCCAGGTGCCCTTCTCAGCTGGACATCGAGAGAACAGAGAAATAATGTGTGATTACAAATTCCGAACCATTTATTCACTCAACATATATTTACGGTACTGCTGCTGTGTGCCAGAGACTGCCCCTACCCTGGTAGTATCAAGTGATAAACAAGATGTAATTTTTTACAGGGGTGCAGTGATGTACACCTGTAATCTCAACTATGTAGGGGACTGAGGCAGGAGGATCACAAGCTTGGTTATAGCCTGGGAAAATTAGAGAGATCCTGTTTCAACATCAAATTTAAGAAGAGGGTTGAGGATGTAGCTCAATAGTACAGTGCTTGCCTACCATGTGCAAGGCCCTGGGTTCAAGCCATAGCATTGCAAAAATTTTTAAGAAATGAAAAGGTTTTCCTGGATTCATTTTTTAAGAGTAAGCTTTGAGAATTTTTCCCACTCCCAGCTTTTCCCTGTGTGTCCCCAGGAGGTTCTATATGTTCACCAACAAATTAGCTTTGATGGGGGAAATAAAAGTAAAATAAAGGATAATATAAATGGTGATATTTTGAATAGACCATTTTGTTGAGCATTTTATTGAGTGCTTACCATGTCTGGGAATGCTGTCTTGCAAGAATTTGCTTTCTTCTGAGTCCTCCGAACAGACCTATAATCTACGCTTTTAAAAGTATTTTATTTTATGAGATGAAATTCACGTATCATTAACCATTTTAAAGTGAATAATTCAGTGACATGTCATTCATTCACAGTATGGTACAAACACCCCTGCTATCTAGTTCTAGAAAATTTCATTACTCCAAGAGGACAGCCTATATCCCCTAAGCAGTTGATCATCACCACCCTGCCACCCCTGCTTTCTATTGCTATACACTTCTTCCAATGAACAGGAAATAAAAACCACTTTGAACTCAGGCAAATGCTACTCTTAAGGAAATATTGCACTGTTTTCTTTTAAAAGATGCTTTTCTAAAACTGAACCTTCACAGACTGTCAGTGTCAAAAAAAGACTCTTTAATTACAGAAGCTGACAATTTTTTTTTCTGTACAAAATTATCGGGGTTGAACCCAAGGCTTCTGAATTCAGCTATATCCTAGCCCTTCCTTTTTTAAATTTTAAGACAGGGTTTTGCTAAGTTTCTAAGCTGTGCAGGCTGGACTTGAATTTGCCATCCTCCTGCCTCAGCCTCCCAGAGAGCTGGGATTACAGATGCATGTATGGATGCCATTCAATAAACCTTATGAATTTCTACTCAGAAGCCAACTAAGGTTGCGGTCTCAGTTTGTAAGGCTTCAACTTGTGTTCTGCTCTTAAATTTTCCCTACATCATACCACAGAGATCAGGGCAAAAGGGAAAGAGTGGGGAGGGTAGGAGAGGGGAGAAGTGATGGTGCCACGGTTTGTGTCTAGATGTCCCCCCAAAGCCTCATGCAATCATGGGGAGGGTTTCTAGAGTTTTCGATTAATCCATGGTCCAATACTGGGATTATGGGTATGATGGTTACCCCTGCCCCGGGGTGGGGAGCCTGCATAAAATATATGGGTGGGAAAGAGGCTGCTTGCCATTGCTCCTCCCTGTGCTCTTGTTGCTTTGCTGTCTTCTGCTGCCATGAACTATTGCCCTCTGCCATGTGCCACCCTGCCTTGGAGCCAGCTGAGTATGGACTGAAACCTCCACAAACTGTGAGCTAAATAAACCTCTCCTTCCTTTATTTGGGGCATTGGGTATTTTGTCTCAGCAACAAGAGAAAACTAACCAAGACAGACAGGGAGGTGCAGGTATGGAGGCGGGGGAGGTGGGTGCTGGCTCTTTGCTGAACACCAGGGCTTGAGGACCAAGAAGACCCTTAAGCAAGGCGGACCTGGACAGGGTGGAAATGAAGAACTAAGAACTAAGAACTAAGAACTGCCCACACCAGAGCACCTGGCTGCCTGTGGCTACACCAACACTCTCCAGCTATTTGTACTTTCCTAGGCTCCTGACTCATAGACCAGTTTTTAGGCCCACTTTGGGGATGAGATCTGGGCAGATAAGAACTTGGCTCCCAGCTGCGTGTGGTGGTGAACACCGGGAATCCTCTGGAGGCTGAAGTAGGAGGATTACAAGTTTGAGCCCAGCCTGGGCTACATATCAAGTTCAAGAGGACTACATTAGCAGACTCTGTCCCCAAACAACCAAAATAAAATGAGGGGGAGCACATATCCAAGTAGGGTGGACCGGTGACTTGACACCCCTTCCTTTCCTTGAGGAGGAAATCTGTGAGGAGACCCTCTTGCTCCGTGGCTCCATCAAAGCCCCAGAGGGAATTTCTGCTCCGCCCCCCACAAAGTTACCTCAACAATCAGCAGGTAAAGTCACTCTGGGTAAGGCCGGACATAGAGACCCCTTGCTCGAGGTTTTGGAGCTGCCCAGGTTTCCTGCATGACTGTTTGTCTAAAGAATCAAAAGCTGTGTTTCTCTGCTTTGCCTGTGCTACAGACAGGGCCGTGACCTTGGGTCCCGGGCTCCCAGTTGGGTGTCAGCCTGGGACACTTGGGTTCCCATCCTTCTGGGTGCCTGTGTCAACCTGGCCCATAGCACAAAGAATCCCCACACACGTCCAGTCGCAAGGCCAGCTGACTCCTCCACTGTTTTGTTTTTCCTAACCAGATACTTCTCATCATTCTGCTTAACACACCACGTAATTATAGGCCCTTCCATCCCTCTTTCCCTCCCTCCCTCTGTTCCTTTCTCTTTTTTTACACTGAGGGTTAAACCCAGGGCTTTCACACTGAGCTACATCCCTGGTCCTGTTTGTTTGCTTGTTTATTTACTGACACAAGTTCTTGCTAAGTCGCTAAACTGCTGTGTTCAAATTTTCAGTCTTCCTGCTTCAGCCTCCCAGGGTGCTGGGATCACAGGCCTGTGCCACCACACCAGGCCTCATTTCTTTTAGTACTGGGATAACTCTGAAATTACCTCTTCTTCAGTTCTTCCTGGGAAGTATCCCCAACAGCGAGGGAGGGGACTGCACCAAGTTGGAGGGGTAGGAATGGGTGAAAGTCCATGCCTCAGTGGATACTGTGCTACAATGAAGGTGCTGACCTGAAAACTTCAGGCCATGCCTGCCACTCGACACTCCTGAAGACAGAGGATGCTATGGATCCATGCCAAGTGCCAGGCCTGTTTTAGGTGCTTCCTTTTGTCGCCCTAAGAACTACCCACAGCAGCCCTATGAAGCAGCTACTATACATTTTACAAGTGGTGAGACTAAGCACAGAGAAGTTGTGTAACCAGGACAAAGTCACACAGCCAGCAAGAAGAGCGGCTCATTCAACATAGGTAGCAGGCTTCAGGGCTCAGTCTATTCACTTGTAATTTCATGTTACTCCTGAGGCAGAAATTTCACTCAGTCTCATCCCTATCAGGATAGCAGGCAATGACTGGGGACATCTGTGGTCATCACATGAGTGTGTGTATGTTACTGGCATCTAGTGGATAGAGGCCCAGGATCGGCCTAAACATTCCACTGCGCACAAAACTGCTCTATACCACAGAGCTATCCAGCCTAAAATGTCATAGCACCAATGTTACGTGACACTGGCCTAAAAGTATTTTAAATTACTGGTAAGTTGAATTCCTTATCTTCATTCTGAAACTTCTCAAAAAAAAAATTGCTATGTCATCCTGTGACTTCTTGTGCCCCTCCAGCGCCATAGTTGTGAAAGTTGGTTTGAGAACTGTGCTCTCAAACTGTATGCAAGCAACAAAAATTTCACTGGGTCTTCAAATGTCCCAAGAGATCGTGGCAAGAGCCCCCCGTCACCTACCTTCTCAGACCGGACAGTGAAGAGCAGGTGGAGTTTTCCTTCTTTAGCCACCAATGGTACAAGGACCGAGTATTTGTGACTTGACAAGTGAGAATATTTGGCACCAACATCGAGCTTTTTCAGGCGGGCCTTTGTGTCATCTATCACATTGCCTCTAAAATGCAAACCAACCACACATTTTAATAACCAGAGTTATAGCAAAAAACTCCTGGTCCTGCTTGTATTTCTGCTTTTTGTGCATCCTGGGGCCTACCACTTCTGAGCCTCAGCGTATCTGTGAATAGCATGGCAGAAATAATAGTACTTCAGTAGCTCGGAGGTGGAACACCTTGAAAGAGGCCCAAAACTCCTAAACACAGTTTAGCAAGTGGTGTGATCAAAATACAGTGAATGTCTAAATTTAAGAAATCATTACCATAGAAGACACATTGCCATTAATCCCTGTTATGGCTTGTGTCTAGATGTCCCCTCAAAGACTCATGTGGTCATTGGTAAGACTTTTCAGAGGTGGCTGGATCTAGTGTGTAATGATGAGATTGAGTGTGCAATACTAGGATTAAGGGTGCATGATTACTAATTAGTCCACTTACTAGGTTGGCATAGTTCTGAATGTGGATAATGAGAAGGCTCACCCTGTGTGTGAGTGCCACCTGCCCTAAGAGTGTGTAGCCTGGATAGAAAACAAGGGACAGAAAAAGGGTGGCTGCTGTTGCTTGGGGCTGCTTTGCTGCCTTCTGCCTGCCATGAACAGTTTCTCCTCTGAGATGCCCCTCTGCATGCTACCCTGCCTGGAAGCCAGCCAGCTACAAGCTGAAACCACTACAAAGTATTAGCCAAAATAAACCTTTCCTCTCTTAATTTTAGTATTTTGTCTCAGTGAGAAAAGCAACTAAGTAACTAAGATACTCTCTTAACATAATCACCTACTCCTCAAATACACTTATCCCAACTTTCTTGTCACTTTCTAGAGCAGTTCTGGAAGTGCTCTTTCATGCGTATCTTTACCAAGTGTGATTAAAAAAAAAAAAAATACAGTGAAGGCTGCTGATGTAATACAGGAGGGTAGGCTTACAAATAAATACCTTATGGTATGTCCTTATCCACCTTACTCAGTAGATCTGACACCATACAACTTCTCCAAAAACCAAAACGACCACAAAAGGTAAACATTTTGAATTGGTACATTAAGATAGCCACAGCAGTACAACTAGAAACCCTCAGGAAAGAGGACTTCCAGAACTGCTTCAGAGAGTGGCAAGAATATGGGATAAGTGTGTTCCAAGCGAGGACGAGGATTCTGAGGAGGATTAACAGCAGTATGTCTTTTACTATAATGTATTTTAAAAATTTAAAGATTAACTATGTTTTCATCACACCTCATACACAATTTTAGTTTTTTTTTTTTTGGTTTTTCTCCGGTACCGGGAACCGAACTCACGACCTTGCGCTTGCCAGGCAGGCGCTTTTGCCGCTGAGCTAAATCCCCAGCCCCTCACACACAATTTTAAATTTAAAACGATAAACTGCGGTTTTCAACAGTGCAACAGTTGAAATCCATAATTAAACTTTGAAATCTATATTCGTATCCAGACAAGTTTGCCGAAAAAGACTTAAGATTAGCCCACTTTTTTGAACGTGACCTTTACATCCTGTTACCAAACAGTTAAATCTTGTGACCACGGTTCTCAGCTCCTGTATCCCCTGGAGGGCTGCTTACAAGAAGCTGCTGGGCTTAGTCCTGCATGTAGCACAGTAACGTTAGGGTGAGGGCTGAGAATCGGTACTTCCTCGAATGCCAAGCGAGGGTGCTGCTGAGGCATGGACCATGGGAATGTACGTGCAGAACTGTTCCCTAATAACAGGCGTGTATTTAGATTTCTAATCACAAGTGGTGCTCTTCTCAATTGGACTTGTTTAGTTGCTTTTAGTGGATGTACTTTGTTGCTGGTTTGCGGGGTGGGCTGAGGTGTTTGCTCCAAATCTTTATGCACCTGGACCCTCGGAGCGTGACTTCATCCTGACACAGGACCTCTGTGGATGTAACCTGTCCAGGATCATGAGGTGCAAGCACCTGGATGGAGGGTGAGCCTCAGCTCAGTGACTTAGGGGAGGAGGAGAGACACAGAAGGATGCGTCTGTGGGAAGAGGGCCTGAGGAGACAGAAGTGGCGATTAATTAAGAGTGATGTCACAAGCCCAGGGACACAGAAGCCATCAGGAGGAGGAAGAGGCATGAGGCGTCATCCATTGGAGATTCCAGAGGAGATGCAGCCCCGTGGAAACCTTGATTTCAGACCTAACCTTCGGAACCATGAGAATACATATCTGTGGTTTTTTCAGCCACTTAGTTTGTGACACCTTGTTACAGCAACTCTAGAAAAGGAACACCTTGGTTTTCCAATGATTCTGTAGGAAGACTGTGTTGCATAGCTCACAAGTTTCCGTCTGCCGCGGTGGTTTCAAAAGTGGACTGCAATGAATTTCAAAAATGACTACGCGTCCTCAAAGGAGTCACTAAATGCTAGCTCGAGACTACCGAACGCCCCCAGTGCACACAAAGCCCTGTCCAGAAAGGGAATCTGGCCGGCCCAGCCTGGGACTGGACCTTACCCAGGGTGACTGTTAGAGGGAGACAGTCCCCAGAGGAACCGGCAGGAGGAAAAGTGCAAAAACCTGTCTCTTGTGAGGCTGGCCCTTGGAGTAATCATCACCATCGAAATGCTTTTCTCATTGAACAGTCCGGCAGGTGAGAACAGAATCACGGAGGTCCAGGCTCGGGGAGGTTACAGAAGCGCAGGCCGGAGAGCCCCAGGGGAAGCGGCCACCGCTGGGCCTGGGCGGAAAAGTTGCAAAGATCCGCGGGCTGCCCAGCGGCGAGCGCCCGAGCCGGCTGGATCCCAGCTAAAGGGCCTCGGCGGCCCCCGCTGCGATGGAGACGGGGCTCAGCTGCCTTGGGTGCACGGGCCGGGAAGGCTTTACCTGTCTGGCTCCTGGAATGGACAAGATCGCGACATGGCCCTGGAGAACGTTTGTAGCCAGTCAAGACGCCAAGAGCGGAATCCCCGAGGGAGCATGCGCACAGCCTTCCGGTTGAGGGGAGGGGCCTGTGGCACAGGCGGGGAGGGGCGGGGCTTCAAGAAGGGCTGGGTCGGAGACGCTCTGGGCGGCTAGGGGCGTGGTTAGGGCGGGGATGGGGCGGGGCTGGTCCTGAAGGCGGGGCCGGGAAGGTTTACTGTCAGACCTTCCCCTTCCTCCAGCCTCTGCCTAGTTTCTTGCACTTCTTGAGGAGTCAGAGGCATAGGAGAAATTCTGAAAAAATCGTATAAAATGCTTCAAGAGCAGTGCTGGTGAGCTGAGAGGCTTCCAATACCCGCAAGCCCTGCTGCAGCTGCTGGGCGTTGGAGGCGGTTCAGCCCCTCTGAACTTCGACCCGCCCGATACCTGCCAGTCCTTTCCTCTTCACTCCTCAGAGCGGAGGTGGACCGACCTCAGCCCGGCCTCACCGCCCCGCGCTGGATCTGCCCCAGCTCTGCCCAGGCCGGCGGGCCAAGGCGCTGGCTGCTATCCTCCACCGCGCCCAGTCCCTGGTCCCCTCCGGCCGCTCTCCCAGCGGGGTCCTCGGGCCCACCACCCTCTCTCCCTGGGCTTGGAACCCTGAAGAAGAAAATAAACCCAGCTAGATTATATTCATCTTTATACCAATGCAGTCTTAAAATAAAACTCATTTATTATTATTATGACTTTTTGTGATACTAGAGACTGAACCCTTGAGCTGCCTTATTCTCTCTCTCTCTCTCTCTTTTTTAAAAAGACAGGGTCTTGCTAATTTGCCCAAGCTGGGCTCAAACTTGTAATCCTCCTGCCTCAGCCTCCCATGGTGCTGGGACTACAAGCTATTTTTATCTTATGGAAGAAGGGATCCACAAAAGCAAAAGTGCCAAGGACCCATGAAAGTCACTTTGTGGGCCTGGACGAGTGGAACAGTTGGGCCACAGTTCCCCAGACTTCTAACCCCACAGAACCAGCACTCCCAGGTTTACCAGGGCATCCTTGCTGAGGCTGGGAGAGTCCACACCAACAGTTCCACTTACATGAGTGCCCTTAATCCACCCAATCCCAGGATATAGGATTATTTCTGCAGAGATGGGACCATCCTTTCTTTGTAAATTAGAAAATAAAAATTATGCTTAAGGTCACACCGCCCTGGCTCAAGTCTAGATCATTCTGACCTCTGAGACCTTGTATTTCAATACCACCAGGCAGAGACAACTGGCCAGTGAACTATGTGGATGTGATTGTGAAAGCAGAGGAGATATGGCCACCTCTCACCCAATGTTCACTGTGCAGCTGCCATGTGCTAGACAACGGGCAATGACAAGACACAGCCCTTCGACCTGGTCTAATGGGGTCATAATAAACATAACTCTCACCTCTAGTAGGTCACGCTGTGCTCCTGGCCTGGGTGAGGAGGGAGGGGAGAGTGGTGTGGAGGACCGAGTTAGAGGGTGAGAATGACTGCCTGGGGGGTTAGTTTTCTCTTTTTTGGACCTCCTCTGATTCCTCCTTTTGAAGATGAACCCAGTGCTTTTCCTGCAGTCACACAGCAGATGAGGGGGCAAGTGTTGAACAGTCCAGTGAGCTGCACTTGGCACTCAGTGTGGGATTTGAGGGGTTGGTGGGATTTCAAGAGGCCAAGGCGGGCCAGATGAGGTTGCAGCCAGAGGCTCAGCAGAGCCCAAGCTTCGGTGGGGGTTCTTGTTCAGAGCGGCAGGTTGTTCAGTGGGGCTGGAGCCCAATAGGTATTTTTCAGAGTAGAGGCCTGGAAGTAGGTGAAGAGGCCTTGGGAGCCACAGCTGGCTAGAAGCTGACCTTCACCCAAGAGGAAGTGGAGTAAGAAATCCAGGCTTTAGGAAGACCGCTGTGGCAGCAGGGTGGTGCACGGGTTGGCAGTGGCAGACACTGGAGACCGCTGGGGACTCTGCCACATGTCTCTACGGGAACCAGGAAAAGACAGCTTCAACTTTAAACCTCTCCCCCTGTTCACACCATCAGAACGTCAGAGCATCTAAGGGGTTTTGATGGCCTTCATGCCAAGGGCGGCATCTTGAAATGCCTTGGGATTTTCCAGGCTATCTGCACAATATTGTCTTTCAAGCTTAGAAATAGTCCTGTAAAAATACTCTGTGAAGTGTGTGTGTGTGTATGTGTCTGCATTTGCATGCGTTTGCAAGACAACAGAGCTTCCAGTTTAACTGGCAGTATCTTTTTGGTGAAATTACTCACTTCTGTAGCTTAGTACATAGCTTTGGTGGTAGTGACAAAACTCTTGGAAGATGGAGCGGGGAAAAAGCGAGGATCTGAAGAGGTCAGGCTGGTTGGCAAAGCGCACAGTCACTGGCCAAAGTCCCTCATGGAGCTTCCGGGAACAGGGCTGATCTCTCACAGACCACCTGCTGGAGCTCTAATTGGAGCCGGAACCGCAGGGTCAGGCTGGGGAGATGCGGAGATAGAGAAAACATCTCTCAGCCTCTGGGGAAAAGACTACGGCAAACAGTTAGTTGTGAAGTTAATCAAGGGGCGGGGGCTGTGCTCTGGGAAGTGAGCGGCAGGTTGTTTCTGTGCAGTGGAGTCGGCACGCTGTACACACACACACACACACACACACACACACACACACACAGAACCTCCTCTATTCCTTCCTCAGTTTGCCAGAGGGTCTCTAAAATCTAGGAGCTCTAAACTCAGGGCAGGCTTTCAGATTAAAGCCCCACATATCCAATAGAGCACTGCACTATGTATAGCTGCGGGGCTGAGCATCTGACAAGGTGATGACTTTCCCCCTCACTTCCTCCCACTCGTTCCTCACCGCCTAAATCAACAAGAGCTCATCCCTGTAATCCCTGCACTCTGGGAGGCTGAGGCAGGAGGGTCACAGATTTGAGCCCAGCCTGGACAATTTAGCAATTTAGTGAGACCCTGTCTCTAAATTCAAAGGGCTGGGGATATTCAAGTCCCAGTACTAGGAGAGGGGGACAGGGCAGAGTTCAGGAGAAGAATGACTTAAATAGGAATTTCTTTATAAATGAGTTAGGGGGCCCTCAGTATCAAAATCTTCTGGAGGTGGGGTATTGTTT